GCAGAGCCCCTGTGGTCTAATCACCTACCAATACCATCACCTTGGGCCTTGGGTTTCAACATAGGAATGAAGGGCACAGATACCCAGAACACAGCACACAGACATATGTGGGAGAGAACACGTGGCGTCAGATGAAGTCAGAAATCAAGAAGGGACAAAATTTTCAAAAAGAAGAAGAGCTATGTTTTTAATCAGTTTTGAATGTCAATACCACCAAAGATAGAGTGGAAGAATAAAACTAAGGTAGCAAGTCCTAATGAATTTATAATTACTTTCATCTTTTCTTGAACATTCTCATTAGATCACACTCCAGGGGAGGGGAATCAGGTAAGAGAAATGAGTGGTGACTCAGAAAACAGGGTTACAGGTAAGGACTGCGCTTATCTCTGGGGCATGGTGGGCACTGGAGGGTAGGAGTGGGGATTGCAACTTCTGGTGCGACTGTACCAGATCCACATTGCCAGGGAAAATCCAGAAACCCCAGTGGGCCAGACACCGGGCGCCTGGCGTAACCCCTGCTATTTAGGATCAGTGTGGCACAGACACTTAGCTTCTCATCCATCTAGAAAGTGTCCCTCCTGGTAAGAGGCCACAGGCACATGGGGAGGCTTTCTGGCTCATCCCAATATGGCACCAGCCTGCCTCTCTATGCCAGTGAATCCCCAAGTGCTAAGGGTGATTCACAAGATAGCAAAGATTTTCTTCTCCGTAAAGTCATCTTCCCACTTGCAAAATTGCCGTAAAATACTCCAATACACACCAACTAAGTAACCAGCTCCGTGAGGTGTGTAACAATCTTGTCATGTGGGAATTAACTAGCCTAAAATATGAGCGAGCCAGAGAGTGTATTATGAAATAAAGCATGTAGTGTGGAGCTTTTTCTTTCATTCTTTATGAAGAAATCCAGATGCCTAAGGAGATTAAATGTGTTCATTCAATAATAGTTAAATTCACATCTCCCACGCCTGCTGGGACGCACTCCCACTACCGTGTCCACCTTCTTACCCAGCAGAGGACACGTCTCTGACCCTCAGAGACCAAGGTGTGGGCTGTCCCCAGGGCATCCATAAGAGCCCCATGCATATAAAATGCCTGCCTACATCACACTGTTTTGTGTTTATCTGAGAGTGGGTCCTTTTCTACTTAGTGACCAAGAGCCCCAGGGGGAAGGGATACAGGCTTATTTGCATTTGTACTGAGCTTGGAGTCTGAGGCAGCTGCTGGTGTAGACACTGCTTTGACAAGGGATCATAATGGCAGCCATGGATGGGGGGAATCCAACACAAGAGTGCGTTGTTGGGGCAGTCACCACTGCGCAAGGAGAGCTTGCCTCACGGCTGCTGTTCCTCTCTGTCAAGAGTTGTCCCATGGTACAACAGATCTCTCCCCCTTCCAGGGGTCCCCAGGTAACCCAGTGCCATGGATGTGGGGGTCCCACCCACCAGCTGATGGGTGGCCAGAGCCCCAGTTCATTTAGAAGGAGGACCAAAGGGTAGGAGGCAAGATGGAAGAGGTGAACAGCACAGCCTAGGGACAGGAGGAAAGCATAACAATTCAGAGACCATCGTGGTTGTCTAGCAAGAGGTGGGAAGGACAGGAATCCAAACTGTGGCCTTGGAGACAGGGAAGAAGGGAGAGTCATCCGGGATGTTGCTGACTTGGTGGTGAAAAGGAAGCATACAGGGGCCTCTTGCCTCTAACCTAGCTGCCTCCAGGAGGGTGCAAAGGAGCAGAGGACCAAGAAGAGGAAGGGTACTGTGGACTCCAACAAGAGTTGCAATAGTCAAAAGGAGCATGGTGCAGATGGGGACCACAGCTTAGGAAAGAGGATGAAAAGTGCTGCTGGGAGCTCAGCTGGAGCCAGAGGCGGTGATTTATCTTCACTCCAGCTCTGTCGATTTAGGAACAAGTTGCGCTGACAGCTGGCCCAGTCTGAGTTGGGAATTTTGTTGGATAGGTCTGCAAAGCCAAGGGACCAAGGGAATGAATAGAAGATACTAAGAGCGTGAGAAGCTAGACTGTGGGTTAAATTTTGTGATGGGTGTTAGATGATTTTTGTAACCTTTTCGTACATTCTAGATTCTTTTTTGGTTTTTTTTTTTTGGTACCAGGGATTGAACTCGGGATCTTGTGCTTGCAAGGCAGGCGGCAGAACCACTGAGCTAAATCCCCAGCTCTTGTTCCAGATTCTTAATGTATGCAATATGATGATTTTTCCTGTCTGTGACCTGAAAAGGAATATTACCATATCCAATGTTGGTGCTTTTGAGTATTTGCGGCCAAAAAAATTGTTTTGAAAATGGCATTGATCAGAGAGGTCCCTTGCAGGCTCCGGGGCAGCTCAAGCGAGCTTGGAGGTGGTTTCCCCAAGAGGGGCCCAGGTAACGAGAGCTTGCAGGGCATGTCCTGGTGTCCTGGTTTGGCTTCCCCCTGTTGGCACTCTTGTTCCAGGAATGAGGACACGCACATATCTAAAGGCCAAAAGGACTAAGCCATCTCCCTCCCACTCCGGCCTCTAGCACATTCTGCTCCTTGGTGCTGTTTGAATTCCAATTTTCCATTTTCTCCATTTCTCACCCCCTACCCCTACCCCTTGTCTTTGATCCCCTGCCTCCCTCTAGTCTCCAGTGCTCTAAGGTGACAAGAAACTATTGACTCCTCCCCAGCATGCCCTGCAGGTCATTTCCTTGAGTACCAGGCAGGTTTTACAAGTGCTCCAATTACCCTGTGAGAATGACAAGCCCCTGAGGCCTGTGGCCTCGGGTACTCTGGGTTGGCCCTTGTCCACAGGACTTCTCCATTTGGAAGGCCCTGGCGTCCGGGCCTGCAGATGTCATGGGCATGGGGCAAGGAGTGAGACCTTAATTCAACTTGGCTGAGAGCCCCACGGCTTCTGTTGGTTTCTTCCTCTCCCCTGGGCCTCCATGCAAATGTTATTCCATTTAGACAGAGTTTTCAAACCCTTGGCATTTGCTTTAAAGGTAAGTCTGCTTTGAAGACTGGTAGGGATTTCAGTCATATTTCTACTCATAGTCAAGGAATGAGTGGGAACTAAAAATATCAGCATTTTGGATTTCTCTCTCTCTTTCTTTCTTTTTTTTTTTTTTGAACCTCGCTCACTCAGTCTTCTGAGTGCTCCAGGGAGCAGTCTGGCTGTCCTGTGCCCACACTGTCACCCTGAGGCAATGTCATCAGGACTTCCAAATGGCCCAGAGACCTGACACAGCGCCATAGGACTCCAAGGCCATTTTCCTAAACATGTGAAACAAAGTTCCCTAAATACATTACAAATTTAACAGGCAAGACAATTTGGCTATGGAAAAACCAGTCAGGATGTTCAGAGTATTAAAAGGCAAATTAGCTGACAAGTATCATCTCCACTCCATGTGCAGCCTGACATTAAGCAGCTCTACAAGTTATTACCAGGGTGTTGCGGCCAGAGAGAGGCCTGGCCAGCTCTCAAGCTGGCTTCATTACTCACTGGCTTGTTCTGCCTGTGCCCTTGTGGGCCACAACCATCTCTAGACAGGGACCAGGCAAGCGAACGTGGGGTCGGAAAATATTTTACTTGAAAGGCAATCCGAAGATAGACAATGATTTGCCATTGATGGCTTCTGTGTGAGTCAGTCTTTCTAAAAGTAGAAATGCTCCTTTAAAAGAAAGAAAGGAAAAAATCCTCTAAAATCTGTCAACTTTTTTTTTAAAACCAGATCTGTCTTTTGGAATTAGATTTAAATTAAGACAGGATGACTCACTCTGCCGATGCCTCATTAAAATAGAGATACCTTAAGAAGGTCAGAAGTTTGGACGTTGAGGTTGGATACAAACTGTTCTTCCATTTCAAGAGATCTGCACTCCAAAAGACAAAAGCATCTGGCAATGTCCTATATTTCTTGCTCCACAGGGTCAGAGCACCCCTTGGCAACGTGGACCAACATTCTGATTGACAGGCTAAGTTAACCATCCATGGCCAAGGTAATAATCATTTGGTATGCCCATATCGAAGCTAATTATTAAAGTTAATTAACAAGAAGCTTAATTAACGTATTAGCCATCTGACAGTGAAGAAACTGCTAAAGGTCACTTAGGGACTGGTCACTCTTCTGCTGTTGTATTTTAGCTGGAGAGCAAAGTCAGAAAAATATTTGCCAAGTAAAGCAGAACAAAAAAGAAAAATTGCTAAAGACTGGAAGCACCATGGTAACACTCCAATCTGAATGCTGTGCCACATCTAAAAGACAAGTGATAATGACAACAATTTCTGGGAAATTGTATTAGATAATGCCTGCCTCCGAGGTACAAGTGACTGAGCCATTGTTCCCTTACGTTAAACCTGTTTACTCCTTTCATTTGCAATCTCAGAGGAATAAATTCATCCACATGAAAACAAGTCCCCTGTGGAATAAATTGCCTGAGAGTTTTTGCCAAAGCAGAAGATGTGATCACTGGTGACATAAAAGTAGGTGGCAATCCTAGCAGACCTCATCACCCTTGCTGTCTACCTATGCCTACTCAGGCTTGTTTTTGTGATTAGGTTCGTCCTTATATTCTGGCCAAATAAAGTAACAGGATATAATACATAACACCACCTGTAGCTTAGTGCCTGTTAGTAGGCAAATTCACATAAATCAACAGAGGTCATGGCGGGAGAGATGGATCTGAAGACCCAACTGGAATAAATTGGATGTCTGGCTCTGCCACTTGCTATGTGGCTCAGACAAATCCCTTGGTCACACTGGGCGTAACTGGCAGTGTCATATGGAATAAAGACAGTAGAAGTTAAACGGACTAAGAGTGTCTGGAATTGAGTAGGAGTCTCATAAGTCCTGCTACTATGTCTTAAGTGGCCCATTTAAGTGACAATGAACAAGACGGCCGCTGATATATTAATCCGTTTATTTACAGACGTCTGAGGATGCCTAGGTGACACTGGGGCTCCAGGGAACATTTGATCTTACGTAATGATCCCTCTGGAACAGGCCCCTTCCACTCTGCCCAGATTCTGACTCCATCGAAGCTATCTTCCGGTTACCAAACTTTTTGGTTTCGGGACACCTTCACAGTCATAAAAATGATTGAAGGCCCTACATTAGTTTTCTGTCGCTGCAGTAACTAATCACTACAAATTCAGAGGCATCAAACAATGTAAATTTATCACTGTACCGTCCTGGAGGTCAGAGGTCTTGAGGATCCCCAGAGGTCAGTAGACTACATTCTGCAAGCCAGTGCCTCAGAGTAGCCATCACCCAAGAGGCGCGGAATCAAGTGGGAATTGTCTGAAGCCTTCTTGATTGTTAGAACTCATGGAGGCAGCTCCAGGTAGCAAACACATTTCTGCAACAGACAAGGTCCTGACTTAAATCCTTTGAAATGTATGTTTTCTCTTGGAACCTGTAGCTCTCTCATCTGAAAGATGAAATTAGTACTTTTCCTAACAGCTTCAGAATTTTATTATGAGACTCAAACTTTGATCGCGTGTGTGAAAATTATTTTTCTGACTTTGCTATAGACAACTGACCTAAGTGGCACATATTTAGCATACAATGGCTTTGTTTTCCATTTTTATTTTTTATTAGTAGATGTTTGCAGTACATAACAGCCACATTTCTCCTGGAGAGTTGGTGTTTGGACCTCCATTGCCTTTGCCACTGCCAAGATAATGAGCACAGCCATTGCTCCCAGCAGTTTCCTCTCTTCACCTCCTATATTGTCAGCTTTACATTTTCTAGAATTTTATATAAACAAAATTGTAGTGCATATACTCTTTTCTGACTGGCTTCTTCCACGCAACATAATTACTTTGAGATTCATCCCTGTTGTGGCAGGTACTAAAACGCAGTTCATTCCTTTTTACCTCTGAGTAGTATTCACCTATGGGCCACCATTTGGATTGCTGTAGTTTGGGACTGTTACACATAAAGCTGTTATGAATATTTGTGTGTGAATTTTTTTAGGAAATTACTCTAAACTTCACTTTGGTAAAGATCCAGGAGTAGAGTGGCTGGGTCGTATTATAGGGTCATGTTTAGTTTTTAAAGAAATGTGGAAATTATTTTTAAAGGTGACTGTACTTTTACAATCCCATTAGCAGTGTATTTTAAATTTTAGTCATTCTAATAGGTATATATGTATTAAAGCAATTTGAATGCCAAAAATCTGTATGCAAATATAAGATTTATAATAATATCTCTTTATTGTGTATAATTTCAAAGCATGCAAGTTTACCCTGAATATACTTTACAGTCATTTGTTAGTTGTTCTGTAAATATTTTCCAAGGTTTGAGACCATTTTGAATGCTTAATAAAAATTATAAATTTCTCAACAGCAATGATGGAGATTTTTATTTCTTTGATTTTTCGAAAACCTAGTGTTGACTCTCAGTAAGCATATTCTCTTCCTACCTGTCCCTCCAAATTCTCCAAATTACTTTGTATCCATACTTATACCCACTCAAACAGACATACCCTTGGAGGAATTTACAAATTAAAAGGCCATCCCGCTAATACGTCCCAGTGACACTGATGGTTTCTGTTGATTGGGTCTTATCTTTAAGTCATTAGGCCAGTTCTTATTTTCACTGCAACGGCAACTCCAGCAAGAAGATTTGGGACTTGAGATGACTGGAGGCAAAACATGTGCAGAATCTTCTTGCAGCTACTTCTTAAATAGAAATAACCTACACTGCAATCCATCTCAGAGACATTCCCCAGCTCCCTCTGAATCTCATACCAGACAGCTTTGCTAACTCTGATTGCTAAGGAGGAAAAACATAAATCATTAAATAGCAGGGAAGGCCAGTATGATTTCTAAAAATAAGCACTAATTAGACACTTTTAAAGACAAATGCTTTATTTCCTGTTTTTCCCTTCGATGTTAATTTATCCAGTTGCTGCCTATTGTTAATAAATCCTTTTCACCAGTGTTAATGACTTGATAATTTATAAAACTCTTTTAGATACATTATCTCAATAAATTTAGAAGGAATGTGCTTTTTATTAATTAGCAACAAAAACAAAAGAAAACTAGAGTCTCAGAAAAGTAAAGTGACTTACTCAATTATATTCTATTAGTATCACTGTGTAAAAAATTACCACAAAGTTAGCAACCTAAAAACACAAATTTTTACATCCATGTGTCCATGGTCAAGAGTTTAGGCACGAGTTGGCTGAGACTCCCTGTCTAAAATCAAGGCCTTGGCCCGGGGATTTAGCTCAGTGGTTTCACTGCCTGCTGTGCAAGCGCAAGGACCCGAGTTCAATCCCTGGTACTGGAAGGAAGGAAGAAAGAAAGAAAGAAGGAAGGAAGGAAGGAAGGAAGGAAGGAAGGAAGGAAGGAAGGAAAGGAAGGAAGGAAAGAGAGAGAAAGAAAGAAAGACAGAAAGAAAGAGAAAGAAAATCAAGGCCTTGACAGGGGCTGTAACCTTACATGTCTGTGAGGCTGGATTCTCTTCCAAACTCCCACGGTTGCTGGAAAAATTCAGTTCCTTGCAGTTCTTTTAGAAATTGAGTTGCAAGTTTTGTTGCTGTCTTTTGCTGGCTCTCAACGGCCTCGATCTCTGCTCCTGTGGGGTCTTTCGTCAGTCTCAGTTAACTGGCCCTCTCAACATGGCAGCAGACTTTCCCAATTCCAGAGTGAGAATCTCTCTTCAGTTTGCCATGGTGCACTATTCTATAATGTAAGGTAATGGGAGTGATATGGCAGCATGTGTTAGTCAGATTTCTGATGCTATAAAAATTACCTGAGATTAATCAATTCATATGAAAGATTTATTTTGACTCACAATTTCAGAGACTTCAGTTCATGGTTGCTTGGCCCTGCCACTTTGGGCCTATGGTAAGGCAGCACTTCCTGATGGGAGAGCAAAGCTGCTTACTTCATGGTGGCTGGAAGGAGAGAGAGAGAATGAGGGAAGTAAAGAGGGGGTTTTGCTTCCGTTAGCCCCTCCAAGCCACACTCCTCGTGTCCCAGTGACCTGACTTCTTCCCACTAGGCCCCACCTCCCAAAAGTTCTCTCACCTCCCAAGAGTCTGGTGACCAAGCCTTTCAGCATGCAGGCCTTTGGGGGACGTGGAAAATATAAACCATAACGTAGCACCTTTGCCACTGCATGTAAACAATCAAGGGTGGTACTGTCCATCGAACTGACAGATCCCACAATTCTCAAGGTGAGACAACCACACAGACTGTGGACACCAAGACCTGGGAATCTTGGGCATCATTTTAGAACTCTGCCTTCTGCAGATAGTAAGTTTAAAGATCTGAATTCAGAGCTAGATGATCCAAGAGCTTTCCATGTGAGCTTGAGAGGTGATGGGTCACCAGAGGCCTCGAGCAGTAACATGCCTGTCTTGTCACCTCCATGTTCCCCACGGAGCTCTCCTTACACATCATGGGCGCCCTCTGCCTAATAACAGAGGGCAGAGCAGGAGCAGAGTCAGCAAAACCTGGATTGAGCTACTGATTCACTGTTGGACTGGTCTGAGGTAGGTCAGGAAGGTCTCCTGCATGCCACAAAGAAGCACTGCTGATGGGAACATTTTCCTTGGGTGGCCGACTGTACTCTCTCTACACAAATTAAGACTGTGGGCTTGTGGATGCCAACTTCCTTTGTGGATCCCACCATCCTGCCTTCTCAATGTCATGGTCTTCCCAGTGACCCTGGTCAGAACATAGCAGGATTCTCCACACCCCCTCATCCCAACATCCAACCACAGTGTGTTCTAAGTTACTTTCCTGTGTCCACTGTTTCTTGGTCTTCTCATGGCATGGTCTATCACCTGGAGTTGTCCTATGGAGGTCATCATTAGCTGTCCAAAAATATCCTCTCTCTCCCTCCTTGGACACAAAGTTAAACTGTGTTTGCCAGCCTTTTCTCCAAGATCAACTGATTGGCTGTGTCCCGGCTATAAAAACTTCCTTCACTTGCTCCTCCCCCTTGACCTTTCTTTGCCTGGCTGCAGATGAAGAGAAAGTTTTGGGGATGAAGAAGACACAGATGAAAGGAACAGGGAGGAAAGCTGCTGACCCATCCTGATCCCCACTCAAAATAGTTATAAGAAAGACACTGGTTTGCAGTGTGGTGTCCAGGAAACGCCTCTCTCTGTCCGCTTGTTCCCTTTACTTCACTACACTGACACATTAGCTTCTGCTTCCCCAGCTCCTGGCCTAGTGCTTGCCACAGAATAAGCAACTGGGCAAGGGATGAATAAGTGACTATTTTCTGGAAATCCTATCATCTTCTTATCATTTTCTTCCTGCAACCCAACAGAAACACACCATAGCAAACAATAAACACTCAAAAAACTTTAGGCATTGGTGGCTCTGGGTACTGATCAAGGATAACTCTGATTTTACCTTGAATTTCTTGACTAGTTTCATCTCTTAAGAGTCCTTTTTCTGTTCGGGGCTACCTGGGAGGCATGAGCAGAATGGTCCCGGCTTTTTGCTGGGAACCCTGGTTTCAGCGTGGACTCATCTGGTTTATAACACTGACAATCTGCTAATGATAGGAAAAGTAATATGATAGGATTTCTCAGGTGCTTTACAGAGGCCAGACTGGCCCCCCTACACACACACACCCTCTTAATCTGAGCAAATTCTACGACATTGATACTATCATTATTCCCACACTGCAGATTAGAACCGAGACTCAGAAGTGGAGGAATGCACGAAGAGCCAGTGCTGGTAAGTCAAAAGCAAGCCTCAAGCCCAGGTGCTCTCTCCCGACTCTGTGCAGACATCCTGTTTATTGCTGTCCCCACTGCAGGGTTTCCCTGCCACTCAGCCATCTGCCTTCTTCACCAGGAGGAGTGACAAAGTCACCGCTAGCCCATATGGCCATTTGTATGAATTAGAACAGGATATTCCTTCATCAAAACACCTTGGTGCTATATGCCAGAGATTTGGTGCAATTGAATCACAGTTGTCTATGTCTTTAAGGTATATCATGGAACACTTTCAGTTGTTCAGTGTTCACCCTACGCAGTTGTATGGAGTGGTCCTGGGGAAGAATTACAAATTGTCATGTAGGGGTCATAGTCTTATGTAGAAAACTTGTTTTGTTTTTTTGTAGGCATTTGGTGGCACAGTATCCCTATTCTGATCAAAAGCTGCTTCCAGATGACACATAAAGAGAGGGCCACCTATTGTTTTCCAAGCTTCTGTCTCTTTGTGAACCCTGAGTTTTCGGGAGCAGCTGCCCGTGTAGTTCTGTTGACCTCTCCCAAAATGTACTACTGGCTGTGAGGCTGCAAAATTCAGGCAAGCTCAGAAGGAAGCATTCGCCAGACCCAGTGGCAAAATTGGGAGCACAACCGTGGCCAGGGATGCAGCCGAACCATCCCTTAATGTTCCCTTTTCATCCTGAGATCGCAATGTTCCTCCACAGTCCTGTAAACTGGAAATAGAAATGGAGGGGCAGTAGGCTTATTGGAGCACCCTTGAAATGACTCAAACTGATATTTGTTCTCCAAGGCAGCGTATGAGGTGGAGCATGAGAAAAGAGGGACAGAGCGTCTGAAAAACTAATGCATTAACCAGAGAGCTGGAAAGACCTCGGGGTGGGGCGGGTGACTCCCAACAGCCACTGCCTAAATTAGTAAACACAGGGATTCTTCACTTACTCTGCTGGGCATGGATTCTTCTGTTAGGATGGGAGTTGCTTCCAAGCAGAATAAATTATGAAAGTTAATGTGAAATCATTTGGAACAAGGATGGCCACCAGACACCAGAGGCTACTTATATGCCCAATAAGCCTCAGTTTTGTTTTTCTGTGCAGTGGGGAAATAACAGTACCTACTTCACAGGATTGGTATAAGAAATAAGTGAAAAAATTAATGTAACACATTCATGTAAGTGCCTGGCATTTACCAAACACTCAGTCAATGGTAATTAGTATCCACATAATAGTAATATGAAATTAATATTATACCTACCTTTCTCTAGGTAACAAGACATTTCTCCCCCAGTCTTTTATCACGTAGCAAAGTTCCCCTCACAGCTTGGCCTTCATACCCTGAAAGAAATCCTGCAGGAATGCAAAGCCATAGTGAAGAATTAATTCCGTATGTGATATAAATTTGTGTGCAAAATCACTCTGCTTGCCACATCTGTGCCCTCCAGCCTTCATGGTGTGGATTGTGGCAGTCATTTCAGCAGAACTCAGTCTTCTGAGCCTAAGAGATAAAGAAGAAATGACTAGCCCTGGGAGCCTTCCACAAGGAGGAAGAGTTTGGATAAAAATGGCTGCTGTGAGGTTCTCTCGAGGCAAGGCCTGCATCGTTCCCCACATGCCCTCTCCACACTTCCCCTGTGGGACTGAGACTGAGAATCAGGACTCTGCCCCTATGGAAGGCAGAGAACCAGGGAGTCTGGATCCAGCCAGGTTAAGGAGAGGCTGGGAGTGGGTGTCATGATACCCCGGCCTCCAACACTTTCCATCTTTACTGGAAACCTCTGTAAAAATAAGAGATACAGTCTGGAGCATTTTTGAATTGATTTTAATTTCTGATATGATGCAAGTGTAGTTATATACATGGCTATTTGTTTGGAGAGGACAGATCGTTTTTTCAGTCTGAGGATTGAACCCTCAGTGCATCCTGAGTGCATGCAGAGCACATGCAGTGGTAGAGTACCACTGAGCTACATCTCCAGCTCAAGTGAACAGATGTGACAGACAGAAAACCAGTAGGCTGCAATGGAGGAGTAAAAGACATCCCCTACAACAGAAACAGTAAGCTTTAAAAGGCCCAAAGTCATCCCACTTTGACTGTAGACTGTGTGGTATGCAACCTAAATGACCCCCTGAGTTTGAGGACCATTCGCATGTCAGGCAGTGCTGAGGACAATCTCAGTACTTTTGTTCTTCGAGTCCTCTTCTCCTACTCAGAACTTGCCACTTTGGGGACTGTGGGCCATCTGCTACAGAAGGCAGGCTGTGCGTCTTGGTGACAAGAAAGCCCTGGTCCCCACCAGCTCATCCTCTGTGCTTACAGCCCCTGACTGCAGCGTCATGGAAGTAACCTGCATGTTTCTCCACCAGGGAGATGAAATGCAAGCTAAAGTCCAGAGCTGAGAGATGCACATTTGCTGGTGAAACTCAGGCCTGGGGCCACACGGATGCGCTGGCCCAACACTAAGAAGCAGTGGTTCTCCCCATCTCCAGAGAACCTGCCTTTCTCTGTGGAGGAGGTGGGGTTGGGGATGCACTGGCCTGTTGTCCCTTGGCCACCACCAGGCAAATGGCAGCAAACACGCCAGCCTCCACATGCCACTTGCTGTTGAATGGCCTTTGAGACAGAGATAGGAACCCTCCTTTCTGCCAGTCTCTGAAGTGGGCAGCAGAGGAAAATGATCTTATGGTCCCAAACTAAATACCAGCCCTGCCTATTACTTTTATAAGAGGGATGATGGAAAAATACAGCGATTATTTAATTTTTAAAAAATATATTATAACAAAAGATACACTGTCATTAAATCTTTCTCAAAATAGGTCCCTTCCTTTGGAATCCATGTATTCCATTGTTCTTGCCATTTTCTGGAGCAATCCTGGAAGTCTTCTCGTGAGTGTCTTTAAGAGATGTGGTTAAAAATATGGTGAACTGCTACTGAGTACCATAAAACAAAAAGGCAGGGTCATAAAGCCATAATGGTGTGTCCTCATCTAGCTTATTCACCAGATCTGGCACTGTGCAACATCCAGGTCTTCCCCACAGTCAAAATGAGCATGAAAGGTAAACACTTTGAATCAATTCAGGACATCCAGGCAGCCACGACAGCACAACTAAAGACACTCAAGAAAGAGGACTTCCAGAGCTGCTTCAGAAAGTGGCGAGAACTGTGGGATAAGTGTGTTCAAAGTGAAAGGGATTATTTTGAGGGGGAGTAATGGCAATGCATCTCTCTGTAATAATTTTTTTTAAAATCTAAACACCCTCTGTATTTTCTGATCACACCTCACATGCTGTATGTCATCCCATCTTGCATCAGAATCATCTCCTATCACACACATGACGGCATGATACAGTATGTATGACTGTTGAAGGGAAAGGAAAAAGGACTTGCCTGAAGCTGGGATTAATCCCTTACAAAATTTCAGTCATCTACTGGAATTTTTTTATTTTCAGTGTGTTGGGTTTGGTTTGGGTTGGGTTGGGTTGTTTTGGGTTTGTTGCTTTTTGCCTCTTTCTTGGGCAGTTTGACTTTGAGGTTAATATTTTTAAAGTGGCATGAAGAATTCCACAAAACTATCAAAGGCAGAAAAATGAGGGGATCCTCGCTGGATCAGGTGGAGAGAGTGTAAGTTTGATGGTGGGCTGATGAAGCAGAAAGGTGTGGTGAGGCCCCTGAGAGGGGCTAGGGCTGCTGAGCGGGTGATGGAAACCGGAATGGAGCTGCACATGGCCATGGGGAGAAGGGAAAAGGGAGGTTACTAGGCAACTTCCTAGGGGCAGAGGAGCGAGCTCTTGAGGGAGGAGGTGCTTTTGAGAATGCCACCTTTTGCCGTGGATGGCTACATGTGGCCAGAACAAACAGACCCCAGAGGCTGGTCACACCTAGCTGACTGCTCCCCCAGAGCTTCTTCCTGTATAATAAACAGTCAGGAGGGGTGGAGGGTACAGAGCCCCAGAAGTGCGAGAAATGGGCTGAGCAGAAGCTGGGATGCAAAATAAAAACCAAAGCTGTTTATTCTGCAGTTTGCCCCACGGAGGAGACAATGGCCCTGCCAGTGGGACCAAGAGTTGTGGTTTAAAAATGCATTCGTTGAGTGGCGACTAGGTACCAGGCATTATGCTACTTGCTGAGAAGGACAAAAGTCATGCCAGAGGTGATGCTTGTCCATAGGCAGCTCCTTACCTAGCAGGAAAGAAAGAAAGGCCTATAGACATGTGCACTGTCCGTTAGTTATACAGGGTAGAAAACAAAGCTTCATGATTGAGAGTACAGAGTACAGAGCCAAGGGTCTGCATCAAGCTACGTGTGGGATCTCAAATAATGTGACCTATGGAAGTTATTTCCTTAATCTCTCACCCATAAAACGCACAGGATAATGGTGCCTACATCAGAGGCTTGCTGTGAGAATTATGCGAGTTGACAATTGTAAGGTGCTGAGAATAATGCCTTGCAAACCGTAAGGTTTGATCAGTAAGAGGACTGCAGAACCAAGGCTATGAGTGCAATACTGAATGTGGCCTAAGTGTCTTTCCAAACACACACATGTCCTAAACGTGACCTTCAGCAAGAGGATCCCTGTGACGCTGAGACCTAGCAACTTCCCAGCTCCTCCGTTAAATGGTTCTTTGATTATTTTAACAAATGGTGCACACCATTGAAAGACACCCATGCGTGGAGGAAGTCATATCTTTCAAACCCAGATGCAGGGCCTAAGATATAACAGAGTCTGAAAAATGCATCAATTCACTCAGTTCTCCTGTCCCCCTTTGCTGTCACCTGGAATAAGAAAGAACAGGTGGGCATAATGATGTATTTCCTTTGCCATCAGTAAAGTCTACTCTGACTCACCCATCTGTCTCCACAGGGTCCCTTTCCCCACTCCTTATCCATCTACAAAACCCTGAAGACTCTCTAGCTTTCCCTAGAAATCCACTAATCCTGAATCGCACAGATTGGAAGCTATGTATTTTCAACCTTTCTGGCCAGGCAAATGTGTTGAACAAAAATAAATTCAGATGTTCAGACCAGCACACAATGTTCCGGCCTTGTCCCCTGCAAGGCATTATAATTTGCGTGACCATCTTCCAAAGGTCCGCGTGTTAAAGGGTTGGTCACCAGCCTGTGACACTACTGTGTGGTGTTTGAATCTGTAAGTGGGAAGGAGTTAGGTCTTGGGGGGTGCATCCTTGAAGAAGATAGTGGGACTCTGATCTCTTCCTGATGCTTCTTTGCTTTTTGGCTGCAGTAGGGTGAAAACTTTCCTCTACCAGACACTCCTGCCATAATGTACTGCGCTACCACAGGCTCAAAACCAATGGAGCCAACAGACCATGCACTAAAACCTCCAAAACTGTAAGCCAAAACAAACCTTTTCTCTTTTTAAGTGCAATTGATCTCAGGTACTTTTTTTTTCACAGCAACAGACTAACACATAAGGACCAGCAACTAACAACCAAGAGCAGCCAATTGCCACAGATAGAAATATTCCAGTTGTCCAATAGACAGGGTCTTTATGGGTCTTTATGCAGAAGAGTGGAGGAAAATGCCTTCAAAGACCAAGGGGGAAAGTCCTAAAATTGTATCTCATTTACAGGCCCTGGTTGCCTTGCTATTCCCTAGTCTGTCCCAGGCTATCCAAGCCTGTACTCCCTTGTCCATATCACCAAGGAACACACAAGCAAAAAGCACTCACTCTACTCTCAGGATTTGCCTGGAAAGAGTAAGTGATCAGACTACACAAATCCTAATTTTCTGCCCCCAGCGAGCTGTTTTGGTCAATTCAGGCTGAATCCAGGCTGAGATTCAGAGTTCTCTGACTTGATTCCACACATGAGGGCATTTGACTGAGGATGTGCACAATCGCTCCTTCAGTGTGATAGTAAACTATAATTTTTGTGTTAAAGCACCAGGGGCATCAGGGAGACAGCACAACACTGCAGTTGCTCCCCAGGCACAAAGTGTCTCTCGATCCTATATGGCCGGCCAGCCGGCCCCATCCTCACCCGTCTGTCATGCTGGCCTGGGGCCTGCTTGCAAGTCGGGGGGACCCCTGACCTCAGGCACACATCCAAGGCAGTGTGGGCTCTGAAGGCCGATCTGAGCAATGCCGGAGGTGCCATCTGTCTGCAGGAAGACCATCTTCTGTGTCAGTCCTAAAGAATTGGCTCCATATTTTTCTCACAGCTGGTAACTGTTAGTTGCCAAAATGAGATACCTGAACAGCAAGGAAAGGAAGGCATGTGATTCAGGGACAACTTAGAAAAACCCAGAAACATTCCTAAAACTACTAGAATGACTTAATAGAGTTTTATCCTCCCCCGCCCCGCCCCAAATCTGCTATAGTTAGGATCTTAAATGCTTCCCTCAAAGGCCCATGTGTTAAAGGATTGGTTCCGAGCTTGTGGCACTATTGGTGGATCATGTAAGAGAAAGGACCTAGCAGGAGGAAGTTAGGTTGTTGGGGGTGTGCCCTGGGGGAATGTCAGGACTCCAGTC